TTAAAAGCTAACACACCGCACTAATAACACCAAATTAATTGGATGAACTTATGGCCACTCACTACCCTAAATAAATCCCCCAACTTAATATAGCTGAAAGATTGGTTGGCCACAGGCCCCTCAACAACCAATGCAATTATTCCTTTGGATTTAACAACAACCAATCCAATTATATGCTCTCACCAAATATTGGTAGTTGTACTGTGGCAGCCATTAACCATGGTCCATGAGTAACCCTTTGCACCAAAACCCCCCTGTTTTTGGGACCTGTCCAGTGGAAGAAGCATTTGATGAACAACTTTTCCTTCTACTTGACAACCTCATCATTCATTTACCATCATTACCCTTTTTGTACATCACCAAGAACTGAAATATTCTGCGAGAACGTGATCACCAGGATCGGTTGCCAAATATTTAAGTTGATTAGCTGATCCATGGTGCATGCTTCCAGTATGAAACAAATTTTGCCTTTTCACCTGTTTTGCTACTGCTGGACCAAATTCTTTATGAATTCAACGCTAGAATTTAAAAATCCTACATTATCAGCGGTTCAACTAGAATATTCGCTATTTAGCAGCATGTAATGGTTTAACTATAGTTAAATCATGAGCTCAACATAAAATATTCTACCGCTGATTTTTCGGATACAATTCCAATACGATTTTTCAATCTTTGGTTCGGAGTAATTTTTCCCAGGTTGAACCCAAAACACTTTCCTATAATTTGTTGATCTAGAAGATAATCTTTTTACCGATAGTGAGGGGTAATCGGTTATAGGAACGTCATAAGCCATGAATTGAAATATGTTGTTGTCGTGAATAATTACATTGAGGAACGATATATTTTGAGCTCGAAATAGATTGACAATCATTTCGTGAGAGCACAACTTCATTATGGCTGGCAAATATTGATTGATCATATGTGAAAATGTTTCCTTTCTCTGTCTTGTACTATGTTGTTGATGTGATCAGTGAGGTAACACCACCTAATCACCAAAAAAGGGGCCAAGGGAAGAAGAACATACTTGGTTTTTCCTCTTGTACTTTCATGTATTATGGTTTATGCTTTCATACATAGTTGCTTACTTGCTTATTGCCATTGGTGGTGGGACTTGTATGAAGGCTAGCAGGAGGAGCCAAGAATTGATAACTTAGTCTGAGTGTATGACAATGGATATCAAGTTATGTCATCCACAAATTATATGAAGTGTATTTCTTAGTTTTTTTAATATTTAAATCGGAAAGGTAAAGAATGTCTTTATATAAGCATACATTTTGGTTGAGAAGATCATCATTAGATAATAATTAACTTTGTTGACGATATTCTATTTCAGTGGAAATGATCTAAAATACAACTTTCCACTTATATCTATTTAAATTATTATTATTATTATTATTATTATATAATTAAAAGCATACGTATTTTATACTGTTCATTACGAAAGATTATAAACCATATTTAATTTGGTAACGGGTACTGTTCGCAATGAGTTCTTATCTCCTAGATTCAATTTTATCAGAAGCTTATTTTATTTAACTGATTTTTTTATTTTCGTTATTTATCATAATCTCATTGTTATTGAACTATCAAATAAAAATCCTTTATTTTTACTATTTATTAATAAATAATAGGAATAAATTTAACTATAAATCCTCTATTTTTCATTTTTACTGTTCATTATGAAAAAGTAGGAACAAATAGATCATTGTTATTTTATTATTAACTAAATCTTCTTAGTTTGTCACCCATTTTTTAATGAGTACGGTTCACAATGAGTTTTTAACTCCTACATCCGGTTTTATCATAATCTCGTTTTTATTTAACTAAAACTTATTTATTCTCAAATTTATCATAAGCTCATTATTATTTAATTATTAACTAAAAATCCTTTATTTTCCCTATATATTACTAAATAATAGGAATAAATTTAACTAAAACTTCTTTATTTTCATTTTTACTGTTCATTACTAAAAAATAGAAATAATATTTTTCTTATTACCTCTTTTGTTAGAGAGATAATAAAAAAATTATGTGTCTAGAACTTGTTATCTATTTAATTTTAGTTTTTTGTTCTAGTTTTACTAGAGAATGTTTAGCCTTTTAAAAGATGAATGTTTGTTTTCCTAGTATTGGATTGGATGACATTGTAGTAGATTTGTTTTCATTTTCCGTGGAGATAATTTTATGACATTTTGCCATCTCGAGTTAAAAAGTGTTATGTCTATCATAAAAGCTTCATGAGTCATAAATCATGAGGCAACATGTGCTATAAAATTCACATAGGAGACAATTTGTCGCCCTCTAAGACATTGGTGAAGGGACATATGATCTTCCCACAACTTCCAAATGTGACAAACTCTCGTTCCCAAAGACATTGTTTAAGTGACACCTAGTCATTTCTAGAATTTAGTAGATGACATTTCATCGTCTCTGTTAATACCACTTAAGGAACAACAGGTTGTTCCAAAAAGTTATATGGGTGACAATCAGTCATCCCTAAAGATAAAGTTTAAAAGATAAAATTTAAAGATAATTGGTTGTTCCTATAATTTAAATAGGTGACAAATTGATGCCAAAAGTTATATGGGTGACAATCAGTCATCCCTAAAGATAAAGTTTAAAAGATAAAATTTAAAGATAATTGGTTGTTCCTATAATTTAAATAGGTGACAAATTGATGCCACTGAAGACACTGTTTAAGAGATGATGGGTCGTCCCTACCTGTTAAATAGGTGACAATTAGGGGTCCCAAAAAATACAGGGTGATGAACAATTGATCGTTCCCACAAGTGTACATGTGACAATTAGTCGTTCCCAAAAGGTGCATAAGTGTCAACTCCTCGTACCTCAATATACAAGTTAAGGGACAATTGTTCGTCCATATGTTACAGCTTCTCGTCTCTAAAGATATGGTATAAGAGACCACTCATAGTCCTAGAATAAAGCTTTTGGGGACAATTTTTAGACTCAAATTTGATATCTATAGGAACAACATGTCGACCCTATAAAATGAAAAGAGGAAGATGTATTATCCCAGGTAGGTCCAACACAATCACTAAATTGATTATTCTGGACAATAATTCGTCTCCTGAAATGATGTTGAGGGGACAAGCTATTGTCGTTAAAGTGATAGCTATATGGATGACATGTTGTATTTCATGGAAAATAAACGAGACAACGAATTACTAATATCGGGGACGACCGTCGTCCCTAAAAGAAGTAAGGACAAGAGTTTAAGATACCAGATATCGGCCAAAAACTATGGGGACGATTTTTTCCATTTCTGAAAACGACTTTCCGCGTCCCTAAACCTTCTCTTTTTTGTAGTGGTATGTGCTTTAACTGGATAAATTTTTGAATTATTTGATTTCGAAATCATTAGGAATATAGGAACTCAATTTGACGACAAGAAAGAAACTTGTATTATTTTTTAGGTTAAGTTCCAGCGAGCCACCAGCCAGCCCACCACACCAGCAAATTCTCTCACGGGTTGCTCATCAAGTCCGTTTTCTCCCTTTTAATTATAGTGATGATGGGAGCAATGGACAATATAGCAGGTGATATAGCTTTCTACTATTAGCTCCTCCACACAACACAAGAGAATCTAAAAGAAAAATTAGAGGTGCATGTGGGTAACCAATTATTGGTTTCTCTATGTGTTGTTATAATATATCATCTCATAAGGTTAATGGAAGAAGGTATGCATTTTGTATATTTTAAATGCAAGTGAGAGTGGTTTGAGAATGCATGACTTCTACAAAAATTCGTTTATTTTAGAATTCTCGTATTTTCAGAATACATAATATTATCTATTAAAAAACTTGTTTTATTAAAATTAATTTGCCAACATACTTAATTGTGTTACATCCACCATTGTAGTATCTAATGACAACCTAACTTGATGAGTAAAACCATCTCCATCCCAAAAATTATTTAGCAATTTCTAAATTGGTTCCCCATAGCCACATAAGCAACTTAGCAATTTATCCCTTCAACAATTTATAGTCATCTCCATTCGAGCAATTCCTTAACAATTTCTATTGATGTGACCCACAACATATCCATATAAAACTTATGTTTTCTTATATTTGAAAATCTTATATTATATTTATGACTAATTAGCAGTTATAAGTTGAATTATAAAAATATCTAAATATTTGTGTTTAGAGTAATTGTTTTCTAGTTTCAAGAATATTTAATTATAGTTATACATATATTTTATTTTTTATTTTGATGATAAAAATATAAGATATAATTTATAGAAAAAATGTGTATCATAATTTATTTAACTAATTAATCATATAAAAATATTTTCTAATTAAAAATTTAAATATAATATAGAAGAATACAATTTGTGACAGGAAAAAAAAAACATGAAAGTGGGTCCCCGTGTCTAGGTGACATTGCTAGGAAACTTGCGAATTTAGCAAGCTTGCTAACTCAGAAATCACCTATACATCCTACCAATTACTAAAGGATTGCATTTGGCAATTGCCAAAATATTTATGGATGGAGATGCTCTAAACCAGCACACCATTAAACATATATATGTAATTAAGAATCTTCTCCTTTTTTTATATAATGATTACTTTGGAAGGATGTCAGTCAACTAACCACTTGACTCACTGACCCTTATCTTGTTACTCCAACCAATTGTTTGTTTCTTCCTTTTGGCTCTATCCTATAATACTGACAACCGGCTGCTAAGTCAATACCATGGCTACCACGCCATAGATTCCATCCCATGGTACAATGGCATGGGGCAGGGAGAATAGAAGGCAAAGGAATGGAACTATGGAAGAGATAAAACTCATCCAAAAGGGCTCCAAGACAATCAGAATTTTGGAAAACAGAGAGAGAAAGAGGATTATCCAAAGCATGAGACAAATTTGTTTCAGAGATTGGAGAGGGAATAAAGATAGAACATTTCAAAATGATGGCACAAGTTTTTGGGAGCCCTTGTGTTGCAGAAGAAACCAAAGGAACTGATAAATTCACATTCTTCTCCAGCCTCTTTAGTATCCCAACAAACTGCAGGAATTCATACAGCAAAACAGATATTGACTTAACATTCTGGGGACCAACTACAAAACCCAAGAAGGAATTCAATTGCACCACCAAAAAGCTCCTCTCTCTTTTTTTCTTTCTCTTTTCATCTATTGTGGTTTAATTTACTATACAGCAGCCAATATCCCAAGCCTCTGCTGCTTCAAAAGAGAAGTCCCCTTCAGTAGTTGCCTTTTACTATGGCAACCCAAAGAACAAAGAGGAAAAGGAAGAAATGACTTTGCTACAAACCCAACAATGCAATGGAAGTGGGAAATAAATTTGAAAAAAAAAAACAACAATTTTTTTTTATCCTTCTATACAACTGAAAGATACTGGTCATGATTCAAAAGGGATGGATTCTGTGAATCCTGATATATGATCATCTCTTTTGCTTCACCACATCAAGAGCATAGCTTTGGCAAGGATCTCGAACTGCTCCGATTGGGTGTCTTAGATTTCATCATCTTTGTCATTTGTGTCTGCATCTTTCTGCAAACTTTCTCCAACTCCATCACCCTCCATTGCATGCCTTGTAGATGTGCTCTGAGCCTCTCGTTATCGGCTGAGAAGTCGAGCTTGGCAGCATAGAGGACAATTTGCTGATCGTCCTTGTTCCCCTTTTGATCTGCTTCGCCCAAGCTACTGCAAGGTGAATCCACAAAGCAGGTTGTGGCATTGGTGGGTTGGAGCAGGTTCTTCAGCTTCACTTGCTGAGACATGAGAGCTTGGATAGCAGTTCTTGATGGGAACTTCTTGTTCTGAGAAATGTGCATACATACTTCTGCTGACACCTTCTCATAGTTCAGTGCACAGCATATCTTCATCTTTTCCTCGTTAGATAATCCAGTATGAGCCTGTGCAGACAAAGAAACCAGGTTAGAGTCCAAGCACTTCAGCAGCCAATTTAACAACAACAACAACAACAACAACAACAGAGAAATTTACCTCTAGATACATGTCTATGGCACGGTACATCTCATTGTACGAGTCCCGAGCAGAATCCGGCAAGGCCATGGCCAAAGCAAGAAACTTGGATGGTTTCAAGCTAGGATCAGGAGCTACTTCTGCAATGTACATATCCATCAAACTCGCAACCTTATTCAACCGAATTGAGTAAATTCCGCCCTGGAGAAACGATTTCAAGAATCTCAGAACAAGATTTACATCATACAGAGAGTTGGCCCCGTGAGGAGATGGGATCAATAGATTGTCCAGAGTTGCTTGATCCAACTGAGAACCTATCATGTTCTCCACCTTTTTCCTACTACATTTGCTCACATTCAAACTCAAAGCAACTCTGAGTAAACAGAATAAGCTCTTGCAAGGAATGGAGCTCCAATCAAGAATGTGAAGCAAATCGATAACAACCTCAATCGTCTTGACCTTCTCATCACCTGAGGTTGAGTAGCACTTGGATTTCTGGTAGTAAAAGAGGAACTTACTAATTGTGCCATGATCAAATTTCTTTGAAGCCATTGCTTTGATTAGCATCTCAATGAAACTTAAACTCAAACCAGATATCTCCTCAAACCACCATGTTCCTCTAACAAAGCAGGTCTTGAGACTCTCTGTACTTCGACTATCACATGAAACCCGGACTGTCCCCGAGCTATCTTGTGAAGAAGTGGAAGGACATGGACTTGATTCACTAGACAAAGCCATCCTTCCAATAAGTGAATCCATACATTTCTCGACAATGCTTGATGAATTAGACAAGTCTTGGCATTGCTTTAAGGTGACCAGAAGCTCAGACCAAGTCCAGTAGCCTATCTGTTGAAGGGATTTCTCAGTTTGTTCCAATAAGTTGGGTCTAGTTGTAGATGGAAAATCACTGCTCATCTCCATGAACTTTGCAGCAGAGTACAGCAAGGACAGGTTGGAAGGGTTTATATCAACTCTGCCATTGTTGTAACAGAACCTTAACATGAGCTCAAAGCCCTCAGCTCCTCCTGGAAAATCATTGAATATGACCTTCAAAGTCCTAGTACCACTAGTTGATTTCCCAAACAACTTGCTTAATCTTCCTGAATACGAAGATATAATCTTCTGCCAACACCAAGACAAAACATAATAATCAGAAAGAGCCCCACAAATTCACTTCAACAGTAACCACCACGCAAAACCATAGACAAGAAGTTGAACTTCTTTTCCACAGAAGAAAAAAAGGTAAAACCGTCCAAATTAAAGTGCAACCCAACAAAATTGGTTGGGGGAATGTGAGAAAAGCAAGGAAATTCCGATCACTGTCATAATTAAAACCTTTCAGAACCTTAAAAGCCTCTCATTATCAATAGAGCTCTCAGTAGTGAATTTGGCCCCCAAAACACAAAACCCCAAGAAGAAGAAGAGATTAATTACAAAGGGTGGAAATGGAATGTACAGCTAAAGGCTTGCAGGAGAAAGGTGAGAGGTCGTTATAGACAGCATTAAATCGTGCATGGGCAACAAAAAAGAGAAAGAGATGTGCAGCTGAAAAGAACTCAACATCCCACCATATGAGGGTAATGAACAGCAATACCATGGCTTTGGAAACCAACTTACCTCTCTCTCTCTTTCCCTCAGTCTCTCACTCTTCTTCAACATCTAGTCCTTTCTCAAAAGTGGTGCACACAAGAAAATAAGGAAAGGGCAATATGAACATTTAAGGCACCCCTCCCTCATAACCACATAGCAATAAATGAGAAAGGGGAAATGAGGGAAAGGGAATGAATTCGTACACACAAAAACCACCATCACCACTCTACATCAATGGACGGAAGAAAGCGGCCAAAATACAAGAAGGGAAGGTGTAAGAAACGGCTATTAATGTACCCCACACAAGCCTGTAATGTTGGGTCTGGAGATTTAATGGCGGTTGTGCTGGTACTATCAGCAAATTGACATCATTGACAGTAATACAGAACAGTAAGAGATGGAGAATTTGATGTTAAACCGCCATTGAGTTACTCAAATCCATCATTTGTCAAGCACAAAGATAGAATCCACAAGATTTCCAGTACAAACGCCCCTGAGCATAAACATGAACCTAGAATCCAACAGAACAAATTCGTAGCAGAAAGAGAAGTAACGACAGGAACTCAGAATTGGATTAAGTTCTTCTTCCTTACCTTGTCCACCATGAAAGTCTCTTCTCCATTAACATCAACTTCAAGATCACAGCAAACTGCCATGACCCAAATCAACCAAATTTGATAACTCGCCCCAAAGATTCCTGCTTTTCCTCTTTTGCAACGGAATAACAAATTATTGAAGAACCCACCGCGAAAGTCTTGAGCTTTATAAGTAAAAATTTCCGGCAATTTGTGCAACAAGATAACCAACAAAGAGAAAACCCCACCGAGATGGGTTCACAGAGTCACCAGTCCGCCAAATGTGAATAAGAGGGAAGGTAAAAGAAACAGGAGAGCCACGTTCTTAAGATGGGTAAATAATATAAGAGGAGAAAAAGAGAGAAGACAACAACTGTTGAAAACTCAGAGCTCCAGTGCTCAGCTGGGGAAAATAAAAAGGACACTTGGTGGTGAAGCAAGCCAAGGTGGTTCTCTCTAATGGGATGGAGCAGAGAGAGAGAGAAAGAGAGAGGGACAAAACCAAAACCGCAGAGGAAGGAAGAAGCAAACAAGCTGTGTAAAGACGGAGAATAAGGATTGTATATTAATAAACGACTGTTGTGGTCTGTGAAACGGGGAAGAGAAATAGGGAATAATGTCTATAATCAGTGAGATTACAGAGGGAAGAAGAAGAAACAACAGTTGGGGGGTGGTTTTTAATATGTGAGGGTCTTCTTTGTGTGATTGACCACTCACTCAGACTCTGTTGTTATTTTTACGTTCTTGGCTTGTTTATTAACAACAACCCAACGATCCATCTGACATTCCTATTAAACAAACGAAGAAAAGCACATAAAACATTTTACTGCACAGTGAATTCTGACAAAAAGCATCACTTTATAGTATTTTGGGGTAAACGACTATTTAATGGAAGGGGATTTGTTGTTATGGACCACAAGTGATATGTGCAAAGCGGTATCATGAAAAAGATGGGACAAGGTGGTAAGATGGCTGAATAATTTTGCTGTTAATGGCGGGATTTTTTTTGGCTGGTGTGAGAGTAATTGCGATTTGCGGGGGAAAGCATCTTCAAATTGTTAGTGTTACTGTGTTAGATTATTAGATAGAACGGGATCTACTTGCTTGCTTGGCTTCCTTTTCTCCCAACTTGTTTTCCCGGGCTTCTCCAAATTCTGTTCATATTGTTATGGTTACAATATACTTGCTCAAATGTACACTGAAATTTAGAATATGAGTCTAGTTTTTTTATGAGGGAGTTATTAACCCACAAATTAGCTTACAATTATTGATTAGACGCAAAATATATGTTTTATACTATTATTTCATGATATGTTATACATGATTTTTGCATATTTGTTGTCATATTATCTTGGATTTGCTTGGTAATTGGCTAAATGTGTGTTTTGTAGTTTTAGGAATGTTTTTATACTTTTGTTGACCTTTGGCCTTGGGTAGTATTTCTGTGTATTTTCATATAAGAGCACCCTAGTAGATCACCTTGCACAAACTAGAGACATTAAGACCCAACTATTGTAGGTAAAAAATGAGCTGGAACCCAAGCCCAGAAATAATGGCCCAAATTCTCCATCAAAAGCCAAAATGGTACCACAACACCACTCTTAAGAAGGCCAAATATGCTCTGATTTACTAGGAAATTCCTTTCTTGGAGGTAAAGCGGAAGATATCCTTCAGATATGCAAGCACAAGAGTTTACACCTTACAATATTTCTCAGAAAACCTTGTGAAAAGGATTGTAAATAGACTCTCGCGACCAGTGAGTTAGTCAGAAATTTGTCTAAGGTAGGTCCAACATTAAAAAAATATAATGAAGTTTCATGATGTGTTTTCATATTCTAAAAAATTTCTAAAATATATCCATCATTCAAATTCTAAGTGATATTAAGATACCCCACTAGAAAAACATTCATGATTTCATCACTCAATTGATTCTGAAGTGTTTTTTCACGTTGTTCATTGCAGTAAGCACTCTTTCAACACTTCCAACTAGTAGCAACAAATGCCCTTAAGTTTTGAGCTTTGCTCATATTAAACTCCAGTACAAATTATATGAATTAAAAGTTCAATAAACATCACAAAATATTAATCTTTGTAAAGTGAGGTACAATAATAGGGAGATCTTGAATTCAATCCAACTTCATATAAAAAGTTTACTATTATATTGTGCCCTCGGTCACCAGTTGAAGATATATCTTTATAGGGAGTTATTCTGTCCACATGCACTATCTTAAGATTAAGAAGCGAGGTAAGAAAGGCTATCTGGCTCTGAAGGTCGACATGGAAAAGGCCTATGATATAGTAGAGTGGGATTTCTTATTCGCTATTATGACCAGTATGGGTTTCAATGATCATAGGATTGGTTGGGTTCGGGAATGCATGTCAACAACGACATTTTCTGTAATGATGAATGGTACGCCGACGAGTTACTTTAGCTCGACGAGAGGGCTCCGTCAAGGAGATCCGTTGTCCCCCCCTACTATTTGCTATTTGTTCAGAAGGATTTGCGGCGTTGTTACGCCAGGCAGTGGAGGAGAAGAAATTAGCAGGGGTTAAAGCTAATCCGAGATGCCCGAGCATTTCCAATTTATTTTTTGCTGATGACTCGTACCTGTTTTTTAGGCCATCAAAGCAGGAGTGTAAGACATTGGTTCATTTATTAAGAGAATACCAGGAATTGAGTGGCCAGAAAGTTAACTTGAGTAAATCTGCTGTGTGTTTTAGTCGTAATGTTGATCCCCGTGATGTTGATGAAATGGCGGCTATCCTTGGTGTCGGGGCCATAGGAGTTCAGGATAAATACCTGGGACTTCCTTCGTTGGTTCAGCGATCTAAAGTGGAGACTTTTCGATATTTGGAGGAGCGCTTGCTAGCAAAGCTCCAAGGTTGGAAGCAGAAACAATTGTCTTGGGCAGAGAAGGAAGTGCTTTTGAAAGCAGTGGCGGCTGCTCTGCCTATCTATGTTATGTCATGCTTCCTCTGGCCGGTGATACTTTGTCGTAAGCTTGATAGGCACATGGCTAGATTCTGGTGTGGGTATTCGGCTGACAAAGACAAGGCTCATTGGGTATCTTGGAGGAACCTATGCAGGAGTAAGTTTGATGGTGGCCTTGGATTTCGACGGTTTGAAAGTTTTAATCGGGCCCTGTTGGCGAAGGTTGCTCGGAGAATCGGACAAGAGCCAGAGACTCTTCTGGCTCGTGTCATGAAGGGCAAGTACTTTGCAAAATTGGCTATCCTCCAAGCTCGCCGAGGTTCGAGGCCTTCATGGGGGTGGACTAGCATATTGCATGGGAGGGATCTATTGAAGCAAGGGTTGATTTGGCAGATTGGTGATGGGGCTACAGTTTAGTTCTTAGGGGACAATTGGGTTCCAGGTTTGCGGCCGGAGGAGATAGTATGTCGCTCCTCTGCGCCTAGCTTGGATGCTGCGATGGTGCAGTCCTTAATGATCCCGGGAACGGGGAGATGGTGTCTTCAGTGCCTGCGGCAGTGTTTTCCTGTGGAAGTTATTACGAGAATATGCTCCATCACATTGCCGGTGCAACCAGTGAGGGATAAGCTCGTGTGGTCGCAGGAGAATGATGGGGAGTACAGTGTTAGGTAGGGCTATCATCTAGCCTTCACTCTTAGTCGTCGGTTGCCGGGGTGGAAGGATGAGGTTTCCTTTTTCGACAGTGCTTTTTGGAAGAAAGTCTGGGACTTCCCTATTCCGCCAAAATTAAAGTTCTTTGTGTGGCAAATGCTGCGATGTATTTTGCCCACAATGGAGGCGATCATTGAGAAGGAAGGAAAGGTGCCGGCGGCCGTAGGGGAGGCTGACGAGGATGGGGAGTCGACTTCACCAAAATGCCCGGTGTGTTGGGCGCCTATTGAGACCTTGGAGCACATGCTTCTCTCGTGCACAGTGGCTAGGGCTCTTTGGGATAGGTCTGACATTGTTGGTGGGGTAAGTGTTTCTGATGATAGTAACTTTGCTTTGTTCTTTCGTCGATTTGTTGAGCAGAATTCTAGTACGGAGAGGATAGTTTGATTTGTGGCGTTGTTATGGAGAATCTGGAAGAGTCAGAATTGGGTGGTTTTTGATCATGTGCAGTATGATATTCCGCGACTCATGCATCAGTATGAAAGCCAGGTTAGGGAATGGCTGGCGATTGTGCAACCAGCTTAGAGACAGCAGGAGCCGTGCCGGTTGGGGGGGGGGGGGGAGATTGCTGATGGGGGTCGGTCCGGCCTGATGCCGGATGCACTGCCTTATTCGTGTTTTGTGGATGGTGCGGTGGCGCCGGGGTCTCATGTTGCGGAGGGTTTGGTGGTTCGAGATGCGATGGGTAGTGTTTGCTTTGTTAAAGATTTTTCCTATGAAGGTCTTGTGGATCCTTTCTTAGTTGAGTTGATAGCCTTCCGGGATGCGATTCAGTGGTGCTCTTTGAAGGGTCTTCCCGAAGTGAAATTCTATGGTGATGCAAAGGTTGTCATTGAGAAGATTCAGAGGGCGGATGCTAGGGATTTGCGAGGTGGACGGATATTGGAGGAGATTGGTGGGATTCGGCGGTGCTTCCAAATTTTTGGCATTGCTTTTGTTGGCAGGAGTAACAATCGAGTGGCTCATGAGGTGGCCAGAAAGACCCTTTCTTTGTTCCCTGCGAGTGTGGAGTGTTTTGATTTTGAACGTTGGTTTTTCTTGTGATGTAAATAGTGCTATCCTTTGGTTTTGGTAATACAAGCTATCTATTGTTAAAAAAAGGGAGTTACTCTGTCCCCAAAACAACTACCAGAACCAAAAGCGATCAGCAGGCTTAGTGTGTAGAACGATGGCCAAAATTGCGTCCTAGGTGCCATTTCCTAGTCAGGTTGCCATTTGGCATAAATTAGGTATCTTGACTTCTATACTTGTAAACAAAAAGAAAAAGTCTCTCTCTATGTCTCTCTCTCTAACAACTATTTTCTCTAAACTGTCAACAGTTCCTTCTACCGTCTCCTTCGTTGAGACTTTTCCAGCTCATTGTGAGCAATTTCTAGAAGCTGTACTCATCATGGAAAGATCTACCTCTCACTCTCGCTATCCTGCCTCAGCCTATACTGAATTAAATTGGGGTAGTGTGATTGACAATGCTCCTAGACCCAGAGAAGCAATTGCTAAGAAAGGGGTCACTGTCTATGGAAAGATAAGGAAGAAAAGAAGATTACAGGGGAAGACACTAGATGGGATTAAAGGCTTCATGGAAGGGGAATCGTAGGGGGAAAGGCAGAGAGTTGGGGTGTAAGGCTGGCCAAAGGAGTAAATGAGGAAGATTCGGCAATAGATATGAATCTGCTTCTGCCGAACATTGAGCCAAGTGCAACATAGGAATTTAAGGAGGATGGCAGCCTATTAGCTAGAGGAAACCATAAAGTTGATGGAAGGGATGAAGTGAAGGTTATCTACCCACAAGGAATGGGAATAAATGCAGTTGCACAAAGTGGTAGTGTATTAAAGAGGATGGGAGGAAGCAGAGGCAAACCCACAATCCAGAGCCCTTCAACCTCTGTTTTCCCTCTTCTCTCGCCAACTCTGTCTGTGCCAAAACACCTTCAAAACCCTAAGTCCCACAAAAAGAGAGCTAAGATAAGGATGGATGTCAACGAATTAGCTGAGAGAACAGGGAACCTGAGCACTGAAAGGTTCAATCCATCTTCCTCAGGGGGCAGAGGTGATCGCCCAAAGCTGACCACCAACTCTGGCCGGTGAATATCGATGCTGCTGGGGAAAATGCTGACTGAAAACAGAGTTGCCTTAGCCAAGGCAGTAGGGGCAGCATGGTATGTGTGGGGAAAATACGGAGAGATTGGAGTCCG